GATGAAAGCCAGTGAAAAGGAGTAAGGACTGTGGGTCATGTAGAAATCAAGAACATAAGAATAGATAACCCTGAAAAGTTTGGGGATTAAGAGATTTCAAGGTGGCTTAGAAAATATAACAAGATCAACAGATGGTTTCGTTTTTGTTTAGGGGAATCTTGAGCATGTTTGCCAGCAGGAAACGGTGCCAATGGCAGTGAAGGGGCAAAAGTAAGAGACGGGAGATCACCGGAGAAGCAAAGGCTTAGAGGACATGGGGCAGGACGGGATCATGTGCACTGTGTGAAGTTGGAAATGTGTCCTCAGAGAGAAGAGAAGAGAAGAGAGTAGAGCTGAAGATCGATCTGGGATAAAGAAGGAGAGAGCTGATGGTGGCTGGTCCATTTCCTCACTACTGTGGGAGCCAGATGGATAGGGGTAGGGAACAGAGCCAGGGAATATAGCCAGGAAGCCGTTGCCAGGATCCAGGGCAGGGTGAGGGGTGCTTGGATTGGAATCGTTAGTGTGGAAATGGAAAAGTAGAAGATAGAGTACGGATACTGCTCAAACGCAAAATCTGTCACTTGGGCCCTTCACAAGTCACAGGAGAGGAAAAGTAAAAAATGAATAAAGTTTCAAATCAGGGTGAATGGAACAATTGTGCTACTTCAGAAAGTAGTAAAAAGATAAGTGAGGTGATTTTTCAAGAGGAAAAGAATGATTTCAGTTTTGTCATGTCGAGTTTAAGGTAGTACTGGCCTTGGCAATAATGCTGGGCAGGATACACATGGCTCCTGCCCTTACAGGGCTTAAAATTCACATCAGAATTTACCTGCAGCAAGACAGATGGGTAACAAAGGACTGGCTCAATCAAGTGAGAATTCACGGACCTTGAAAATACCCCTTTCTTAAAAACGTGGTTGGGGGTGGGGGTGGGGGCAGGGTGGGGAGGGGAGGAGGCAATAGCTTGCCCTGGACTGGCCAAAAGGGAGAGCCCTCATTGTACGTTAAAGATCGAGAAAGACAATATGAAAGTGTTAGGAAATATGAAAATGATTTCTAAACAAATCATAAAGCTTTAATAAGCTGGCAAAGGAGAGAGCTAAAGCAATCTTGAAAGCTTTAACAAGTTGGAAACACGGGAAGGAAAAAACAAGCCATTAAGGGTGAAATAAATTTTGGTTAAAAATATGTTTTATTCTTCATCTGGGCCAATTTGAAAGCTTTCTTTTGACTTCAGCTAGATGGAGGACAAATGTGTATATTCTTCCACTCAAAGCCCATTAAGAGTAAAAACTGTAAATGAAGTAAATCTAATCTTCAATGTGAACCCAGAGAAGGATTTAAAAACATGGCAGACCCATACAGACCCTATGCAAACAGGAATAGAACTTCCAAGCTTAAAACAAAACAAAACTGGAGTTTTCTTACTAGAAACTTACTACATAAAAACTTTGATGTAGAAAGCCCAAAGTATAAAAACTTCTCCAATAAAGTACTTACATAGGATAAATGGGGCTGTACAACCCAATATGAAATTATTTTTTAAATTTTAATCAGAGACTTTACAGAGAGGGTACCAAATATTAAAGTTCAATGGATTAATATGACACCAGTTGGTGTTCCTGTAGCAAGACAGGGGCATTCAGATTCCAGTGGTTTAGTAAGAAATATTTCTAAAGGAAAACTTCAGCTGAATTAATCTTCCAATTTTCAAGAAGTAATCATCCCTTTTAGCTATATTGCTTATTCTAAACTACTGGATTAGTCTAAATTCTTAAAAAAAAAAATCTGCCTGAACATACGATGGTAGATTTCTCCAAGTCTGATTTTAATTACGCTCATTTGCAGTTCTGGTGGATTTATTTGGATGCTTATAATGTGTACAGCTTTCCAGAGCTTTTAAACAAGGACTGCTATTTTTTCTCAAGTACTGCAAAGACTTTAAATGTCAGCTCTTTATTAAATGTGTTAACTAGGGAGAAAGGAGGCATGGGGCAATGAAATCCACAAGTACAGTACTCCACATGCTTCTCTATAGTTGTTACTGTTTAGTTCCTCCCTTTAAGTCATGTCCTAACAGTTCCCCATTTGATTCTCCCACTCAACCCAGGTTTGAAAGTACACAAGCACCTTGACATGTTATTATTGAGTCTTTTAAAACACTTTGTTCAAAGTGGGACTATCAATTTTGAATATCGTGATTTGAAATGCATGATTCCATCTGTTTGATGAGAAAAGTGGAACCAGGGTGTGTGTGCAAGGGGGTGAGGTTGAGCTCCACGTGTGGTCTGAGTAGCTTGGGCCTTAGAGTCAACTGCCTGGGTTAGAATCCTGCTTCCACTAGGTCATCTGTGCCTGCCTTCATTATCTCCTTGTGCTCGCAAGCCATGGCCACATCTATCAATTAGAATCAGTCATTGGATAAATTTTTTCATGTGGAAGGGTCAGTAGGGCCAAGTAAAACTGAAAGAAAGGTTCGAGGGCAGGAAAGAAAATTATATCCAAATTATGCTATATGAGTTGCCAAGTTACTGGGCCTGTTGAAACAAATAGTCTCATGAATTTATCAAGCAAGTTGAGCAACCATTAAAATTAGGTTGCATTTTGCTATAAGTCTACCAAATGTCCTTCCTTTCTTTCCTCTTCCTTCCTCTGTCCCTCATTCTCTTTCTCTTTTTCTTTTTCTTCATTATCCTCATCATAAGAGAATTAAAAAAAATGCAGTCCCTGTATGTTTGTTTTCTCAGCATTGACATCTTGGACCAATCCACTAGAAACTGCAGTTATCACAAAAAGGCATGTTCTTTCAAGAGCCCATTTTCCAAACGAAATAAGTCATGGGTTTAGTGATGGGTGAAATAAGGAATACTTCAGATTCTTTGAAACATCTCAAAATCATTTTTCAAATATTTGGGGTTTGGAAATATCTTCTTCATGCCTTTTTCCAAGTATTTTTCCCTTGAGAACCATGGACATATGAGGGAAAATTTGATTTTTTTCTCTTTTATTCTAGATTTTCTAATCAAAATCACACAAAAAGTACTTTTGATAACATAAACATTTTTAAAAGTCTTTTTAAAGGTAGTTCAACAAAGACAAATAAAAATAAAACAATACAAAAAAATACACATGGCCAAAAAGTACATTAAAAAGTGCTCAATATTGCTAGTGCAGGGGAAATACATATTAAAACTGTAACGAGATACCACTTCACTAGAATAGCTAAAATGAAAAATGCTGACAACACAAAATACTGGTGAGTATGTGGAGCGACCAGAATTCTCATACATTGCTTGTGGGAATGTAGATGAAAATGTTAGGCAAAAAATAGTTAAAAATACATCTTCCCCGCAACCCAGCAATTCTATTTCTAGGTATTTATCTAAGAGAAATTAAAACATATGTTCACAAAACACACAAACATGTTTATAAAATCTATATTCATAAAACCCCAAAACTAACACAATTCAGGTGCCCCTCAGCAGGAGAATGGATGAACAAACTCTAGAACAGTCACACACTAGAATACTACTCAGGAATAAAAAAGGAAGGAACTATTGATAAATGCAATGCCATAAATGCATCTGAAAAACATACTGAATGAGAAAAGGCAGACAAAAATACTCTACACTACGTGGAAGTCAATTTATGCGGAATTCCAGAGGAGGCAAAGCTATTCCGTGGTAATAGAAATCAATCAGTGGTTGCTTCTTGAGGAAGATACTCTCTGGGGTGATAAATATGTTTCATTTCTTGATGGGTATAGGATGCATGGTTATATGCATTTGTCATACCTCAAACTATACACTTAAGACCTGTGCATTTTACTGTATTTAAATTATACCTTAAAGTGGTTTTTAATCAAAAAAGCTAATGAAAAAACTTCTAAAATTTAAAAATCACTGTAAGTGTATTTAAGATTTTTAAAAACCCTTTAAGATAAAATGTCTTGGTTGAAAGTTTGAAAATTTTGAATGCTTGTCCAGATGCAAATTTCTGAATTTTGAAGCTAATGTATTAAATATTTATGATAAGCAAATACCATTTCATAACCAATTAAGAATCACGGCTCTGCATTTGGCACAGTGCCTAGCACATAGATGGTGTCAAATACATATGTTGGGTAGATAAATGAATGGCAGTAATTAAAAAATATACTTAGATTTTTCTTATTTGTTCTGACAATGAAGACAGTAGCTTCATCTCCAACTCTGTGCTTTTCCTCCATCTAATCTCTCCTAGTTTGTCTCTCCAGTTTTCTAAGCCAGTGATTTTCAAACTTCAGCAGGCATCAGAATCACCTGGAAGGCTTATTAAAACACACATAGTTGGGCCCCACCCTCAGAGTTTCTGGTTCAGTAAGTCTGGAGGGGAACCTGAGAATTTGCATTGTTGACAATTTCCCCAGTAGTGGTAATGCTGCTTGGTCTGGAGACCACACTTTGAGAACTACTGCTTCAAGCACTTCTTCAATTGTCAGATCAAAGATCCATCCATTTCCAATAAACTGTCCAACTTTTATTTATTTATTTATTTTATTTTTATTTTTTGTGACCGGCCGTACCACGCTCAGCCAGTGAGCGCACCGGCCATCCCTATATAGAATCCGAACCCGCGGCCAGAGCGCTACTGTGCTCCCAGCGCCACACTCTCCCGAGTGCGCCACGGGGTTGGTCCAAACTCTCCAACTTTTAATAGTCGTTTCTAACTGCCTTCATTCCCTCCTTTGAGCGTTTATCACACTTCTCAATGATTACGCTCATTGCTATTTGGTGCCTTCTCCCTTGTAGGTTATCAGGAGGAAAAAACTTGCATGTGTTTTCTATTCAGGTGGATGATAACTCTCTCAAGGGTAGCGCTCCTGACTTACACATCTTTTCCACCCTCACATATCTAGGTGATAAGTAAATGCTAATGGTCCTCATATTTATACATTCTTCTGAAGTATGTACAGATACTGTTAAAAGCAAGTGCTAGTTTTCAGATGAAAAGCAAAATCTTCCATTAGGGTGACTTACCTGTCATTGGGACAGTGACTTGGCAATGTCCAGTCATGGTGTGGGTTGATGAGGAAACCCCAGGACAGGAAGACTGAGCTTGGTGTCAGCGTGCCAACCACCAGCTGGAGAGGCTTGCGAGAACGAGCTTTACCTAAGGAGGTAGCATACAGGTTAATTCTGGAAGCATTTTGGGTATTTTCATGACCTGGGTAAAATACATAAAGATGACTTGGCAAGATGATGAAAAGTGTGAAAATGTCAAGTTCCTTTTCTTTTCATATAGTTCACAAATATTACTAATTTTTGCCTATGAATTTAAACATGAATCAAATGAAATACCTTATGTGTGTATGTACATGTGTGTATATATGTATGTATGCATATAAACTAAACCTAACTATATCTAGGTTTTATTTTCTTGTGGGTCAGGGATGGGTATAGAGGTCTTGGCTATGATCGGGGGATAAATAAGCACAAATCTACATATTTATATGCATATGAATATGTGTACACATGTGTACACAAACACATCCCACTTGCTTCATTTCTTTTACAGATAAAATAAAAGCATGCTCATTTTTTTCCCCTAGGACTATGAATTAGTGTGAAATAACATCTAACGAGAAAAAAGAAACCTTATTATCTAGGTTGTAGGTCATATTCTTTTTATTTTAAACCTACTTGGAAGTGTAAAATCCCTTGTAATACTACTGCAAGAAGCATATACTTTACAATGAGTACCTCAATGGAAAAGGTGCACTCATTATTTTTTAATAACGCTGGAAGAGTAATACAGGAAGCACAATTGTTCTAATGGGACTAACTGGATTTGGGCAATGCCAAGAGTTATGCTAATTAACTAATGCAGATTCTTTTCAAGTACAGAGGGGCAGAAATTTGCAATTTAAAAAATATTTGAAACTGCAGGAATGGGAGGACAGTGAAAAAGAGGAAGGACAAACTTCAACCATGAAAACCAGTGCTGGCTCATAAAAAAATCAGGGTTAAAAAAAAAAAATCCTATAAGAAGCCTAATAAAAATACATAGAACTAACATAAAACATATATGCTTTGTATTTCCATTGGATTCCCTCTTTTATTACATGAGACTGTGTATGTCATATTTGCTAAAAGAAGAACTTGTGTTACCTTACTCTAATGTAGTGGGAACCAAATGGAGTCACAGCAGAATGGTCTTTAAACTTTATTAAGGTGGGTAGGAGGGTACCCCTTGCAGGAGCCTTTTGGTGATCATCTGAATCAAATCCTCTTTAAAATTGTGCCATGCTTTTTGCTTCAGTTAGATTTAAGTTCTAAAAGTTGTTGTTCTGGTAAGAAAACTTCTGAGCCCAGAATATATATGACTTAGAGCAAATTGCTTCCTTGTAGAACAACTGACTTTTTTAAATGTTTGAAATAATTTTCAAGGATAGTTATCATTTACTTGCTTGCAATTATACATTTACCCTTCTCTGTAAGTTTTTCCATATCTATCTATAATAATGCCTTGTAGATGGTAGTTTGAACGGTTCATGTATGATCTCCAAAGAGGGCAAATTAGAATCTAGAGTGAGAGTCAGGGGCACATATAGTTTGAAAAAGCCCTGAGCTGATTCTGATATTTGTTTTTCCATCCCTGAATTGATTTTCACTAATGTAATATAATAATCTCATTTTACAGATGAAAAATAAGGCTCAAAGAAGTTTCAAGGGTGTCCCAAACCATAATGAGAGCAAGGTCAAAACTCAAATCCAGGTCTCCTCAGTCATAATCTAGTTTTCTTTTTACTACTTTACTGGCTTAGTTCATAATATGTGAACATAATGCCACTTAGAAACAAAAGATATATTTTTCTTTCCCCAAGGGAACCCAAGGCTTGTATGGCCATTAAGTAATTACTTCACTAAGTTTGGATCTTAATATAAAAATGATTAAATAATTAAAATTTGTGTGGCAGATGCGAATATAAAATGAATGGAAACTAATCTACTAGTCACTACATCATTGCCAAATGTAGACAAAAACAAAACTTACATCCATTGCCTAAAAGGAAAGGTGGGGTATTATTTCCTGAGCAAGATGAAACAATTTCCTGAGCTGTTCATAATGAAGTGAAAAATAATTTTTAAAGCCAGTATCACAGAAGCCTAGAAATGAAATGAAGTTATAAAGTGCTACTAAGGTATAATCACTCTCTGACTTTCCTTATATATTTTTGCATATTTGTATCATGATCATATTAGCATCAAGAAACAGTTCAACAAATATTCATGTGAAACCAGATCCCATGGAAACATACTCATGCTTCTTGATTTTGTTTTTCGATATTTTGAAATATTGAGAGTACATTTATTTTACAGTGTGTGGAAAGCAGCCTGGACAACTCTCAGTGACGAGTTGTAAGAAGTGATTAAAATTGCTCTCTCACTTTGGGATAATATAAGAGGCCAGGAAAAGGAATTTGTATTTTCCAAAATGATTGACCATTCAATGCTGCTCTTAAAAGAAGTAGATATAAACAGAAGTCAGGGAGGAATTGTAGCACCTGATTTCTGGCAATAAGGCCTGGGCTGATACGTCTAGAAGACTGAATACAGAGCTCCAAGGACTCCTTTGTTCGATG